ATACATGAGTGACCTACTGAAAAATCATTAACTCTTCTCAATGGTTGTTGTAGGAAACACATAATAATAAACATACATCCATTTATGAAATAGGATAGGAACATTACAAACTTTACACAGTTATGGATAGATTAGTAGGAAGATATCAATGGCTGCTGTAATAAATCTCAAACTTTTGGATTGGAACCCATTTATGTCTCATTCCAAAATTCTATTCTTAACCCCTTTGCAAATGGCTCTAAAGTTTGGACTGTATCAAAGTCAGATATGGAGGTTTTCAAAATTAGAATTGCTGACTACATTCTTGAGTAAAAATCTTCAGTGTGAGTCCTAGGCATCTGTTCTGGCTTTAAGTGGTACATATGAGTCCTGTTGTCACCACAGCTCAAACAAGGAGGGAGAGAAGGTAAAAGTAACCCCAGGCATCCCTGGGAGGGACTTACTATGTGCCAGGCATTTTCTGACAGGAGGTAGTTTCTATGTTCTATTTATTTCCATTTTGCTGCCTTAAAAACATTCAGTAGAGGGAGTAACCCAAGGTTCTGTAGCTATTAAATGGTAGATTTAAAACTTCATAGACATTAGTCTTACCCACTTATGTTATCTCATTTCTAGAACATGAATTTTTCTGCCACCCTAAATTTCAGGGTATCTGCCCGTTAGCATTTGCAAGAAGGGTCAGCCGAGTCATGTTTGTCTTAAAATCTCAATGGACTTAGTTTCCCGGCTTCTGCTGGGAAAGAAAGGTGCTGTCAGAAATTTCCAACGGTGCATAGGAATATAGACTTAAAAACGTTTGGATGTTTAGATCTTCAGAACAAGTGCTCTATTTTAGACACCCTCTGTGTGAAGTACAATTTTTGGATTTTTACCCTGCTTCTATTAAAAATTTTTTTCCTAAAATCATTTTCTAGCTAGGAGCTATTCAGGATACTTAAAGATGGCAGAAGAGCTTGCCTGGTGGTAGCAGGGTTTGTTTTGTGTATTGCTCACATTATAAATGCTAACTCATCGTATTTTAACCACAGCTGTGCTCGTCAGCATAGTCTCAGTTTTATTGTAGTCAAAATGTTAAGGATTCTCCCTGTGACATTAAAATGAGTATGTTTTCCTCCTAGGAGCCATCGCTTTTTGCTGTTGCCAAATTGTTAGAAACTGGTCTAGTGAATATGCACCGAATAGAAATTTTATGGCGCCCTCTAACTGGCCATTTGCTTGAGGTAAACTCTCATACTTAAATATATTTAATGTTTTATTAATAAAGAAGTGTACACTGAACTGATTCCAGATAACCGTTCCTAGTCTTCCTTTCTTGACCCTGTACTTAAGTCTGTATGTTTTAATCAACGACTAAAGTTGTGTGGTGATTGGTTAGGTGAAGTAGTGGTTGTTTTTATTGGCTGAAAGTAAGTGAAAATTTTAAAGTGAGAAGTCCCAATGAAATCAGCTATCAGCTCGACACCCCTTTCTTCATTATACAGTCTCTTAATTCACCTCGGCTTCGGGTCCTGTAGTTCTGAAACTTCAAGGCAGCCGGGGCTGAGAATTAGCATTGAGCACTGCGTACAGCGTTTGCTGCAGCTGTGAGGGAACCTCCGTTGGCGTCAGTAATTACAGTGCCAGCGAATCGCGTCCTGTGTTCAGCTTGTGGTGACTCTTAATCGTTAGCTGCTTCTTAATAACTAGCTGCTTCTGTTAATGCGTGTATTTGTGTACAGTTCAGTTTTTTAGCTTAGAATGGTCATTTTGTTACTTTAGAAACCCGAGATATTTCTTAGTAAGAAAAAGACGCAAATTCTTCCCCTATTGGAGCACCTCATCAAATGCCAACAAATAAGGTTTTTAAATTTTTATCACAGTTTTGATTATGGAACTAAATTAGAACCTTAGTCCTAAGGCTGGGCATTCGGCTCTTGCCTGACGTGGATTCATGGACACTGGGCTCTGTCCCCAGTACCACAAAGGGAAAAACAAATCAGAAGAAAACAAAAATCCCTCAGTGTTAGCTTCCTTCGTTTGTGTACTCTGATGGTATATCCTTTGCTGTCTTGAATCCTGTGACTTTAGTTTCACTTTTTTTCTTTTGTCTCTCTATTGCTTCCTCTTGCCCTTATTCAGAAGGTAAGCTTACTGACATTTTGGATTTTATTGTTCTTCAAACCCTTATGAACATATGAAGCAATTTTTAAAATGTGAAAACAGAAAATGCAGTGCTTTAATTTTTCTTTCTCAAATTGATGTATGACTTGTACGTTACGTATACAAGGTAAATACTTAGCTTTTGTTCAACATGTGAACCTGCAGGTCTGCCAGCATCCAAACTCTCGCATGAGAGAATGGGGCGCGGAAGCTTTAACTTCGCTCATTAAAGCAGGACTAACATTCAGTCATGAGCCTCCGCTTTCACAGAACCAGGTAAAAAAATACTCAATATAAAATCATCCTCTCTGTAAATAACCGTTTCTTAATTTACCAAATAATGGATAAGCTAGTAGAGTTCTTTAAAACTTACTAGTCTGTTTTATATGTAGACTATGGATCTGGCACATCTTTTGTGAGTGACAGCAGTTCACGATTACCTGCAGTTGGTTTTCTGGTCTGCAAGTTTCTTTCTTGATGAGGTGCTTAAGGCGTCCCTTCAGAGTCGTCTTTGCTTTGGTCCTTACTTGTCCGATTGTTTCCCCTCACTGCCCTCATGTGGGGAGAAAACAGATGTCAGAAGCAGCGAGCGCACTGAAGTAGATTTTGTCAGGGAGTCTTCGTCCTGTCTTTATCATTCACGGGCGTCTTACACGGTTTGAAAACCGCACCGCAGTCTCGGTGACCGAGCGCTGAGTGGGGAAGAGGAGTCACGACTCTTTCCCTCGTCCCTCTCCTCTCAGCGCGTTGTCACTGTCTCTGCACGTGGGTGTGACACACAGTTACCCAGCACAGCTCTTGGGACGGAGTGATGAGCGAGGCGGCAGAGCTCGGTGCCGTACAGAGTTAAATCCTGGTGATGGCAGGTTTCCTCCCCTGAAGCCCCTCGTCCGTTTACCCTTCAGCGTCCACGGGAGAGCTTGGTGCGGCGTGTGTGGTCAGTGAGCGCGGTAAATGAGTCCTTAGGGAGGAGAACGGTGAAACGCAGCGGGCGCTCTCACAGGACGAAGGGCTGGAACTGTGTCTCCTTTGCTGTCCAGCAAATGTGCTTTTGTACCCTCTTCGTTGGTGCCTGGCGTACTCACATTGACACATATTCTAGCTCTTACTATGTCACACTTAGATTTTTTAATTTTAATAAATACGAAATACTTTAACAACATAAATGAAAGGTAATTGGGAATTGTTTTTCTTTCTGCAAATATGGGTAGACATGTATTTCCTTTAATGACAGTCATTTCTATATGGTTCTATATTTAATATTTTTTAAAGTAATAGAATTATCCTTTTATTCTGAAACCTGATGTCTTGAGTGTCTTTTTCTGTCTTACATAAAAATAGATGACAAAATAACCCTGTAGTGATTAATGTTGAAGATGCTTCTTCGATGCTTGCTTTAATAGAAAATTTTCTGTTTCCCTGGTGTGAGTGGAGGTGAATTTGGACCTGGAAAGCACCACGCGGGCACGGTGGCACGCACCCTAGGTCTAGCACGCGGCAGGCGGAGGTGGGAGGCCACCCAGGTCCAGGGGCTGAAGATCGGAGTAGGCAGCAGAGTGAAACTGTTCAAGAAAACCAAAGCAGCCTTTTGAACTTCTCTTCCTAACGAGCTTCGCGCCCCCTTTCAGAGGCTGCAGTTGCTTCTGCTGAACCCACTGAAGGAGATGTCCAGTGTTAACCACCCAGACATGCGGCTCAAGCAGCTGGAGTGCGTGCTGCAGATCCTGCAGAGTCAGGGAGACAGTCTTGGGCCCGGGTGGCCCTTAGTTCTTGGAGTCATGGGAGCAATCAGAAACGATCAAGGGTAAGTGTGTGAAGGCAGTACCCCGGAAGTAGTAAGGATGGAAGATGAGTCGACCCTGAAATCCCGCAGTAGTGGTAATTTTTGTGCGCCCTTCTTGCTAAAGTCCAGCATCTGTAGTAATGTTTCTTAACCCTACCCGCAGTGGTTATGTGGAACTCTTAGATACTACCTTCATACAAAGATACTACCTATGTTTTAAAAGGTTGGAAAAATTTCTGTTTATTTGACGTTTGTGTTAAAACACAAGGTTCTGCTAGGTGTGGTTGTGCACACTTGTAATCCCAGCACTCAAGAGGCTGAGGCAGGAGGATTGCTGCAAATACAGGGGCAGCCTGGGCTGCAAAGTGAACTCAAGGCTGGCCTGAACTCCATAGCGAGATCCTGTCTCAAAAACACCAAATATATATATAAGGTTCTCACTTACATTAATAAGCCAGTCTAACAAATTTCAGAACCAAAGACTGAATTTTGTTTTGTTAAAACAAATATTTGGTACTATGCAAAGTAAAATAACTTCCCTATATGTCTTAGAAAACCTAAGAAATGGCTTTAAAATGACTTTTTAAATTACTTTATTTATTCAACATGTATTCTGTGCTTGGCGAATTCCAAATACTATGTTTGGTAGCTATTCTGAGTACACACATTAGAAGCAGAATCCCAGTGGGGAAGCAGTAGTTCGTTATGCCACAAAACAAGGCTGCAGTGGGAAGAGGGCCAAGCCAGAATTACAAAGGACTCTCATGCTGCCACAAGCTACTGGATGGACCTTGAATGCACTCGGGAGACATTACAGGGCTTTTGAGCAGAGGAGCGGGGCAATGAGATCTGCATCTGATATGCGCTTGATACCGCTGCGCAGCAGAACGGGGTGGAGGGTGAGACGGGAGAGCCGCTGAGTGCTCTTCAGAGCGAGGACGCGCACTGGAGCTGGTACAGATGACCGCAGGGGCGGAGGGGGACGCAGGCAGCTTCGTGGTTGCTGCTATCGGGGACTAACAGGGAGCCTGAGAAAGAGCACGCGCGGCGGGGCGGAGGGGCGGAGGGGCTCGTGTGTTTCACTGACAGTAGAGCGCGAGCGTGGGGGTGTTGGTCCGCAGCGCTGCCCTAGGGTTCCCGCTCTTTGGATGACTGACGATGGTGTTTTTAGATGATGGAGCTGCTTCAGACCACTGAGGAAAACCAATTTTTTCTTAAGTATTTGTGGTAACAAATTTCCCTAAATATTATGAAATATTGAAATTATTTAAAGGATGAGTTTAGATCAAGTTAAAACTGTTTTCACAACTTACATGCAGTATGAAATACGGCGTTGTAAGGACGAAGTGAGTTAATACGTGGGAAACAGTGTAAGACATACTAAGCACCCAGTGAGCGGTACTTGTATAACTGTGCATTTCATTCTTTAACACCTGAATTTTTCTCCAAAACAAATTTCCTTCACTTGAAATTCAAAGTTCACTCTTCTCGCCAACTCGATGTGGAATTTTACATTCCTTTGGAGATTTCAAAATCATAATGGTATAAATATAAAAGAGTGAGGAACTTGTTTTCATTAGCTGAGTAAATGCTGTTTATGTACATGTGCTAGGCAGTAGGTAGGATATGGACACAGCCAGGTGGTAGCCCAACCTGTGATCCCAGCACTTGGGAGGCTGAGGCAGGAGGATTGCCATAGATTTGAGGCCAGCCTGGGCTACATAGGGAAACCCTGTCTACAAAACAAAACAAAACAAAACAAAACAAAGCATAACATATGGATATAGTAGTGGAAAAGTAGCTATGGCCAACTTCCCATTCTTCTTCATTGTCTTAAATTTTCTTTGGTTAGTTGGTGCAAAATACAAATAGAAATAATGTGCTAACACTGATTTTCTTTTCTTGTTTTCTTTAACCTGATTTTATTGATTATTACCTGGGAGGTTCTTTAACTTGTTTAAGTATATCTTCTTAATGCTAAAGTACTATATCGTGTGTTGGGGAGGATTTTTTTTTTTTTGCTAAAGGTTAAAAATTTGCACTGTTCAAATGATTATAAGGTGTTTATTCTAACACCTTTCTTTTAACTCGTCTGTCTGTATTTCATTGTGTTTCAGAGAGCCCTTGGTGCGGACTGCATTCCAGTGTCTCCAGTTAGTTGTTACCGATTTTTTGCCAACAATGCCTTGCACTTGCCTGCAGATAGTTGTAGATGTTGCAGGTAGCTTCGGACTTCACAACCAGGAACTTAACATTAGTTTAACTTCAATAGGGTTATTGGTAAGTATCATCGCCTTTAAGATAATTTAAAAATTACTGTTAATGCAGTTGTGAGTAAATACCAGGCCAATACAGATTAAGCTATATGGAAATTTTAAAAATGACTTTTAAGTACCAAACATGTTTTTTCATGAAGATTGATTGATTAGTGCCAGGAATTGAACTCAGGACCTTGCACTTACCAAGCAGGTGCTTGTGCCACCGAGCTATATCCCTGGCCCTCATGAAGATGCAAATAACATCATTTAAGAAAGAAGTAATTAACTGTAGAATATTTGGAATAATTTTGACATATGAAGCTGAAGTTCAACTGACAAGCTTTGTCAAAAGGATTTAGTAAACAAATAGTATATATAAGAGAAATCACTAGTTCACTTTAGGACAGGGGATATAGCTCAGTGCCACAGCACCTGCTTGGCAAGGGTGAGGTTGTGAATTCTGTTCCTGGTAGCAAAAAAAAGTGCAAAACTACTTCACTTTAGTGTGGAGGTGAACTGACTTTATATATTACTTTAATAACATTTCCATAGGCTACTTATTTAGGAAATAAAACTTCAGTTTACGTAGTCCTGTAGTCTGTCAGCAATATTCTATATTGATTATTAAGAGACAACACGTATAACAGAAGAACTTAGGCTCTGGGAATGACCTTGAATGTAGAAATAATAAAATCCAAATTAGGGTATTGTTACTGTTATGTGAAGTAAGCGTAGAGAGAGCTATTCCACTTTGTTGTTGTTGTTCTTGTTGTTGTGATGCTGATAATGGAACCCCATGAGGGACAAATGTTACTTAAAGGCAATTTTAAAAGAATCTTTCAAGTGTATATTATACCTGAGAAGTTTTATAAAGTCCAACTTAAAATTTTCCTCACAAGCTAGGTAAGGTAATAGTCAGCTTTTTGTCGGTGTGACCCCTGTACCTGAGGAGAACAGCTTAGAGGAGGAAAGATGCATTATGGCTCAGGGTTTCGGTAGCTTCAGTCCATGGTTGGCCGGTTCTGCTGCCGTAGGCTTGAGGTGAGGCACAGCAGCACGGTAGAATGGCCTGATGGAGTAATGCTGCTCACGTGGCAGCCAGGGGGCGGGGACACACACACACACACACACACACACACACACACACACACAGCAGGGGGGAGGGAAGAGGGGAGGGAGGGAGAGACTCAGAGGGGGGTGAGGGGATGAGGAGAGCGTGTATGTTCAGAGGTGCTCCCAGTGACCTCCTTCCTCCAGCTGTGCCCCGCTCAGCTCTGAATTCGTCAATGGATTGATCCAGTAATGAAGTCAGCACCCTTCGTGTGTGAGTGTTCGGGGGACACTTTACATTTAAACCATAATTCTGTTAAAAATGTAATCATGGAAAATTATAAGCATGTTATCTATGAGATTGCTCCTAAAAAGTGGTTCAGTGTTAAATTACTGCCAGATATCTCCTCCTTTATTTTACGTTTATTTTCACAGTATTGATCCTGTTAGATTTTTACCATAATTATCCTAAGTCTTAGTACAGTCATAGGTATGTTTGGAGAAAATAGTTGTCTTTTTATATGAAATTATCAATTTATTGTTGAATTATACCAAGGAATTGCTCATATTTTCATTATGATAGTAGTGGTATTATAATTATGTTCTTTATAGTTAACAATTATTATATTTAGGTAGTGTATACATTAATACATTCAAATTCACTATATCATTCTCCTTGTTTTTCTATATACAGCTGAAATTTTTAATAATAAAAACAGTAAAGGCAGAACAAAATTGCTCCCCCGCATTCTTGTAAAATCAGATCAAAACACTGACAGAGGAAGAAATGTTTCCATTGACTCTATTCTAGTAGGAAAGAGAATTCTGAAGTAATTTATTTAAAGCTTTACTCTGGAAGGTAAACAGCCACATTAGTTTGTGGGGTTTTTTAATCTGGAAATAAAGTGATATTTTTCTACTTTTCCTTTTAGTGGAATATTTCAGATTATTTCTTCCAAAGAGGGGAAACTATTGAAAAGGAGTTAAATAAAGAAGAGGCAGCACAGCAAAAGCAGGCAGAAGAGAAGGGAGTGGCTCTGAACCGGCCTTTCCACCCCGCACCGCCGTTTGATTGCTTGTGGCTGTGTCTTTATGCAAAGCTGGGCGAGCTGTGTGTGGACCCCCGCCCTGCTGTCAGGAAGAGCGCGGGACAAACTCTGTTTTCTACAATTGGTGCACATGGGACTTTGTTACACCACTCAACCTGGCACACTGTTATCTGGAAGGTACTGTGAAGTAGCTTGGGCGCTCAGCTTGTAACTGAGAAGTGCTTTCACAGTATTTTTCCAATTCAACTTGTTATGTAATTTTTTTTTTTTTTTTGAGACAGGATCTTGATATGTAGTGCAGGCCGGCCGTGAACTCGCTTATGTAGCCCAGGCTGGCCTCAAACTCACGGCAATCTTCCTGCCTCAGCTTCCCGCATGCTAGAATTATAAGCATGCACCACCACGCTTGGCTATTTTGTAATTTTTAAAAAGAATGTGCATTTAAAAAGAAAATACTTAGGCTTTATCATGGGTCAGATTGCCATATTGTCATATTTCAAATTCACTTTCTGTTTCAACTCTGTGCCCTGCGTCCAGATCACGAACATGCTTGTCTCCTTTTTTTAAACTAATATTCTCTCTGATTTGTGTTTTTCTTTCAGACAGCTTCAGTTTTACCATTCTTGTTGCCTAATTCTCAGTGATTTCTTTCTTCGTCATCTCCCCTGCATTCCTTTATCCCTTGTAATTTGATATTAAGATTATCTGGTGTCATGGTCTCTTTAACATCATGGAATGACAGAATTACCTAGCGACCTTGTTAAAGCACAAGTTCCTGAGCCACTTTTATTCCTCTCCTTGCCTGCGCAGACCTACGGAGTCCCTGATTTCTGTTCCTGGGGGTGGAGCCTGGGAGTTTGTTTTCAGTCTGGTTTCTGGGTGATGCTGGTGCTGCTGGCCCAGAGAGCACACTCTGAGAAGCACAGACCTGGTCCGTGGGCCGGGCGCATCTGGCCCCCAAGCTTTTTGGCCCAGGCCCAGTCCTGTCCTACTCATTTTCGGGCAGCATTTAATGCCGAGGATGATTTTCTTCTTAAAACTTTCTTTCCCTTGCTTCTGTTTCAGTGCCTGTGTCTGTTCCTCTCCTGAGGTTTTTTTATGTTTTTTTGCCTTACTGCCTGTACATGTAAATATTCCTGAAGTCCCAACTAGTTCTTGCTTACGAATGTTTTTTAAAGCACCCTGTCGAGTCCTGGAGTGTTAGTTGTAACCTTGGTCCGGTTGTCTCCCATAATTATATTTTTGCCTGGATTCCTCTCCTTACCTTTGTTTTCTTTTTTACACATCACCCTACAGATAACTCCTTTGATAACTCAGGAAGCCTTAGATGATGTTCAGTTTACAGTTTACTTAGCTTTTTTCATTTGGCATGGCCTTACAGGTAAACTTAATATATGATTACCTTTATTGGGCAATGTCTTCTAACGTGTTGGAACGATAAGATTGTCAGGTATATTTTTGGTATATTTTTGTGTTTTTTTGTGTTGTTGCTTCAGCTGTATTGTAGACACTTTTAAAATGACATTTTTATAATGTTTAGGTTCTCTTTCATTTATTGGACCGAGTTCGAGAATCTTCTACCACTGCAGATAAAGAAAAGATTGAATCTGGAGGTGGCAATATTCTTATTCATCATTCAAGGGACACAGCAGAGAAGCAGTGGGCTGAGACCTGGGTGTTAACATTGGCTGGAGTGGCCCGAATCTTCAATACTAGAAGATACTTACTGCAGCCTTTAGGTATCTGTACATTTGCTTTCTCTGATTATGCAAGTAACTTTTGTTAAAGGAAACGTAGAACGAATAGAAAACTCTCTTAGAATTCGTGGGCAGTGTTACTACTCAGGAACAGTGAGTCTTAACTTACGGTCCTCATGGTTACGTGCGGTGTGCGCATGGGCACGCACGTTTTCCTTACTTCATTGAGCAAATTTCAGTGTCCGCATATTATGGGCTAGGGTCCTGATCATACTTTCTCATCGCTGGGACGATGTACCTGACAGGCACAGCTCACAGGAGAGGTTTATTTTGGCTCATGGCCTTCTGAGGACGCAGTCCGTAGTGTGCTGGCCCCGAGGCAGGGAGGGTGTGGTGGCAGGGTCTGGCAGGGGACAGCTGCTCACTCCTGACAGGCAGGAGGCAGAGGAAGCAGGCGCCGAGAGGGAGACGGGCCCTTCTGAGTCACAGCTCCGGTAACCCACGTCCCGCCAGCCCCACCTCCTGACGGCGAGTCACTGCGGCGCCTCCATAGCCCAGTCCCCGTCCGAAGCCCTGACTGAGCGCGTGAGACACTCTAGACCTAAACGGTAGCAGCCGGTCTTTGGAGATGCAGTGAGGAGCAAAGTCCTTCCTGCTCACCATCCCAGTGATCCGTGCTACAAAGGGGTGCGATGCATTGTGAGCTCAGAATAGGTGTTTGACCTTGCCAGGGAGGGCTAAGTAACCTTTGCTGAGAAAGTCCTGTCTTAACCGAAATTCGAAGGGTGAATAGGAGTTCACCAGGCAGGGGTGAAATAAAGTGAGCAAGACCTTGTAAACAGATCGACAAAAGACGGAAGGGAGAGGCTGGTGAGGACCCAAGCAGGTCTGAAGGCCTGGGTTAGAATGAAGAGGGTAAGGGAGAGAGCTGCAGAGTAGAGAGAGGCCAGCACCCTTCAAGTGTGTGCAGAAGTTCGGATTTCACCCTAAGAGGCAAAGAAAACACTACTGCTAGGTTTTAATTCATGCCGTGATGTGATTAGATACAGAGTTCAGAAAGATAACTGGTCGGTGTCTAGACTGGAACGATGGCGGAAGGGTGACAGGTACTGTTAGGTGGACAAGGACACTTAGACAGATCAGGGGTTCTCCAGCAAGGTCAGCGCCCCACGAGACGCCGCTGGGAGCACGCCTGTCACATCGGGGAAGGGATGGGTGCTGTTGCCGTCGGCAGGGGTCCTGCAAAGGCCGAGGACGCGCGCTGCCGTGCGCACAGCGGATTCCTCTAACAAAGATGACCGGACCCAAACGCCAGTAGAGCAGAAGCTCAGGAAGCCGTGCGTGCGGACTAGAATCCTTTCAATTTCGGCGGCAGTGGCGGAAGTAGAGAGGCGGTCAGAGTTGGAACTTTTTACATAGTTGTGACTGTGCTGAACATATTTTTCTTTCTTTTTTTTTATATTTGGCTTTTTAAAACCTCCTTATGTTAAAGGATATGAGCAGCTACTTTTTCCATAGTGGCTTTTATGTTATTCATATACACTTTGTTGTCTTTTGCCCTATAAAAAATAACTTACAGAGTGTGATCCATTATATACTTTAGGGCTTCAAAAATAATTTTTTAAGTCTTAAGTTTTCTTTTCATCCAAAGTTTATGTCCAGTGGAACGTATAAATTTTAAATGTGCATTTGTTGAGTTTTAATAAATTAAACATTTTAATATAGTTAGTCTTTTAAAAGCTAAGAAGTAATAGATACAGATTTAGATTTTTCTGAAATGAACTTGTAAGTCAGTTCATGTGGCTTTGACAATTTTTTTATAATTTGAAGACTAGAAAGTTGTATAATTACTATAGAATATGGTTGTGTTTACAAAAGGAACTTCAGCCTGGATGTAAAATTCGTCAATAGGAGAACTGCAGGATTTTCACCTCGGGTGACACAGAATATTCTAAACCTGAGTTTAGGTTACCACTCTGGTTGGCGAATGTTGTGTTTTATCAGATTTTTTTAAAACTATGATGGTAACAGGTAGAAGTGTTTCTTTAAATATTTGGTAGTTTTAAGATATAATTTGTCATAACTTTGAGCAGCTTACTTTTAAAATCTGTTTTTTATTGTATATAAATTATATATCAATTTGTAAGGAAAACCGTACAGAGGGGAAGCTGTTTAAAACTGTGCAAGTGTTATATTTGTCCAAAATAGGGAGACTAGTACCAGTTGCTTCGTATCAGACTTACTTTCAGCATTTCTGTTAACTGAATGTTTCCTCAGGCATTTGGGTTTCCCTATTTAAGGAAAAAATCTAGTCACAGTCTCTGCAAAATTAGAAGTCTTTAAACCTTGATTGCTTACTTTATGTACTTAATAGCCTACTTATATTAAGCTACTTGGGAAAAAAATACCAATTTCTCTGGCTTTTGTGTAATTGTAGTGTAAATATGTAGATAATTATTCATAGTATTAACAAAACTGCAGCGTTCTCTCAACCCCTGCTCTGCTGACATGGGCAGTGGACATGATTTCACACAAAAGGAATAAAGTCATTGTGAAGGGACAGTTTGTTTACTGTTTATTTTGGTACTGAGGTTTGAATCTAGGGCTTTACACATGGTGGGCAGGAAACCAGCCCAGTTTATTTTCTATGGTGTGTTTTTCTCTTGGTAAGTCAGTGTTACGAGAAAAAAATGTTCAAGAAAATCAGAACATAAAGTTAGGATTTATGGAGTCTGAGGTACTGAGGATTTATGGAGTTTATTTTAAAATATTTAGACTATTAAAATATGCAGCATGTTGTTACAAATTCTGCAGTGCTGGTTTTTATTTTGCTCTTCATAATTTGGGTGTCTCCTATAAGAGAAGCCATGCAGTATATAAGCTTGGGTGCGCAATTTATGTAACCTAACACGATGGTCTGAGGTGCATGTGTGTTCCTACAGATGACAAGAGTTTATGTTATTTAGTGGTAGAGTAGTTCTCCATTATGTGTAAATACCGTATTTTCATTATCCATTCGACTGTTGATGGCTGTGTCTGCTGCTTCCAAGATTTAGCTGTTACGAATTGTGACATAAACATGGGTATGCATGTATCGCTGTAACATGATTTCTTTTAACTTTTTACGTAGGAGAGAAATAGCAAGGTCAAATGGAATTTCTGGTTTTAGCTTTTGAGGAATCTCTACATCGCTGTCTACAGTGGTTGTACTGGATTACATTCTCACCAACAGTATAGAAGGCGCCCCCTCCGGCTTACCAGCCCCTTGTAATTTGATTTTTTGATGACGGCCATTGTTTCTGGGGGAGGGTAGAACCTTGGTGTTTTAGTTTGGGTTTCTAGCATTTGTTCATGTACTTAGTGGGCATTTGTACTTCTGTGAACTGTCCATTTCACTTCCCATTTTTTGATGAGGTCTTTTATCTGGGAGGCTGTATTTTTTGAGTTCTTTATGTTTTAGATGTTACTCCAGTGATTAAGAATGAGAACATTCCATGCAGCGGTTAGTAATGGTAAGAGGACAGACCGATGGTACCACTGCAGCGCCTTCGTTTCACGCTTGTTGGTTTTTATTCTGTTCTTTGCAGTGCTAGGAAGCGGTATAAACCTACATACATTTATAGTTTAGTTCTTTAGACTAAAAGAATGTTTGATGTACCCATTTTTGAAACTCTTTTCAGTGTCCTTTATCCTTATATTGAAAAAAATTCTTTTTGAATTGGATTTCTGGATTGTGAGGATTTTAATTCATGTTATTAGTACTTTAATACCTAATTATTTTTTCCTACTTTTATGAGAATTTAAGCAGAAAATATCTAATATTAAGGGAAAGTTTGGTCGTTTATGCGTTGCTTTTTCTCCCCCCCCCCCTTTAATACAGGAGATTTCTCAAGCGCTTGGGACGTTCTTCTTGACCACATACAGTCGGCAGCACTCAGCAGAAACAATGAAGTATCTCTTGCTGCTCTGAAAAGCTTCCAGGAAATTTTACAGATTGTGTCCCCCGCCAGAGACTCAGATAAGCCGGAAACACCTCCTGTAGTTAACGTCCCTGTGCCTGTCCTTATAGGTCCCATGTCAGGCCCTGGCCTGAGCAGGCCATTTGTAAGAACAGATTCCATTGGAGAAAGACTGGGAAGATACGGTAGCTCTGAGCCACCCGTGGTTACCGATGAGCTGGAAGATTTGAATCTCTGGTGGGCTGCATGGAATACCTGGTACAGAATTGGCTCCGAAAGCACTAAGCCTCCTGCCACTTTCGATAAACTAACCTTTATTCCTAGCCAGCCCTTTCTTACAGCTTTAATTCAGATATTTCCCGCCCTCTACCAGCACATAAAGGCTGGCTTCAGCATGGATGACTTGCAGAAGCTGGGGGTCATTCTGCACAGCGCGGTTTCGGTCCCAATAAGTTCAGACGCGTCCCCTTTCATCCTCCCATCCTACACCGAGGCTGTTCTGACGAGCTTACAGGAGGCGGTGCTTACAGCTTTGGATGTTCTCCAAAAGGTAATACACTTTCTGTGGCTGTTTTAGCAGTAATGCACATAGTTTCCAGAACTTTTTTACGTTGCTGTATCTTTTTGGGGGTAAGTTCTGGATCATCAAGAGTGCTGTGTAATTATTTTGAGGTAAATTCAAGATTGTTAAGATCTGAGTACTTTCAAAACTTTAAATTTTCTGATACTTTCAAGAAGGTAGTTGGGATATGTAGTTAGTGTTTAAGAAGCTGCCTGCATATTCTCGTACTGTTCATGAGCGCTTTGGGGATAATAACGAGGTGCTTTTATGACTAGGATTTAATAAACATCGGCATATTTTGATATGTCATCTGTACTGAAATTTACTTGTGAAATTGTGGAGAGCCTATACTTAGAAAGCATAAATGTTTAAAATGTTTTTCTTAGAAATTTTATTTATTCATTTAAATTTTTTTTAGAAATTTTTAAAATATATTTAAGCCACATATGTTTTGTTGCACAAAAAAAACAAAAAGAAAATTAAACATCTAAAAATCATTCAGCAAATCCAGATTGGAACCAAGGCTGGGTAATAAGAGGGTTTTTAGATTATCAAGAAAACTGATGGTGTAATTCAAAACTATGAGAATGCGAAAAAACAAACAAAAAAACAAAACCGGAGTAGCCACCCATGTAAACACAGCAGCTAAAACATTGTAATGAAGTTAAAGTAGAAATAGACTCTCACCATGCCTGTTGTCAGCGGTCATTTGTGAGCGCGCACCTTGCTTTTCTGTGGGGTGGTTGCTCGCACGCAGTGGGGATGATGAGAACGCTCCCTGTAGGAACGGTGAGCCCTCTGTCAGCCGCCGCGACTCCTTCCATTGCCTCTGGAGATGGTGTAGGTGAGCGGTAATTCTCACGTCACCCAGGTGCACTGTACAGGGAAACACATTCCAGAGAAACTTAAAATTTAACAGAATCGGTCATTTTTTGAAAATTATTATGTGGGGATGCTGGGGATTTAGCTCAGCGGCACAGCACCTGCCTGGCAACTGCAAGGTCGTGAGTTTGATTCCCAGTACCAGAAAAAAACCAAAAAAATAAAAAATTAAAAAAAACTTATTACTTGGGTATTGGTTTTCACAATTGAAGTTAAAGTAATTGCTTTTAATTTGGAAAAAATGAAAGTGACCTAATTACTTTTTCTCTCAATTGGGCATAAAAATAAATTGCTTGTCAGTTATCCTAGAGGGAATGAAAAGTATTTTTCTATCAGGAAAAAAATCTGAAGCTTTTTAAGAATTGTCATAAATCCAACTCGCATATTTGATTCTGATTTTTATCTGGCTGTTCAAGAAAATAAAGAAGAGGGGCCAGGAATATAGCTCCAACAGTACAGCGCCTGCCTGCAAGCTCAAGGTCCTGAGTTCAATTCCCAGTACCAAAAAAAAAAAAAGAAGAAAGAAGTATATGCTTTTAAGCTGGGCATAGTGGCACATGCCTGTAATACCAACACTCAGAGGCTGAGGCAGCAGGATTGCTACAAGTTTGAGACCAGCCTGGGCTACAAAGTGAGCTCAAGGCCAGTCTGAACTGCATACTGAGACCTTGTCTCAAAAAGACCAAAAAAGGGGCTGGGGATTTAGCTCAGCGGCACAGCGCCTGCCTGGCAAGCGCAAGGTTGTGACTTTGGTTCCCGGTACCAGAAAACAAACAAAAAAAGACCAAAAAAAACAAAACTTGGTTTTAGGGCTAGGAGTATAGCTCATGTAGGGATATAGCTCCCTAGTGGAGCATTTAATTGCCTAGCATGTGTGAGGCCCTGGATTTAATCTCTAGTACTGCAAAATAAAAACCTTGTTGATTAAAGATTCGGAAAATGAATTACTCATACAGCTACTAGTACTTACATTCTGAAACTTCGGAAACTTTATTGTTCATTTTTATCGATTGTTACCATTTTTCATGATGATTTATTTTATTCGTCATATATTTTTTCCTTTTGTGATTATCTAGTTGATATTTCATAAACCTGGAATATATTTATTGTCTTCTAACAAAAAAGTAACATCTATCAGAATATTTTTATGTTCTTTTTCCACAGTCATTGGAAGGTTTTTGCAAGCAAAATTTACTAGCTTTGGGATTGTATCTTTAAAAATAAACTATCCAAGAAAACATTTTCCTGAGTCAAATCTATTTCTCTTATTAAAGGAAAAACTTGTTTCTGATTTCGCTTTTCCCCCTGAAGCAGAGCCTCGGTGTTCTTCTTCCCAGGCAGCGCTGTACCGTGTCAGGCTTCACAGCCTCAGTCTCGGTGTTGAGAGGGTCAGTCCCACACTAGCGTCACTCGGTTATATGTGCTACTCTATTATTCTTCCTACTTTACATATGTGGAGGAATTGGGAATTTGGTTATCCGCTTTGTGTGTAGACGGTACTGAGTTCTGAGGCCAGGACACGTCTGTCTTACTGACTGGGAAACTTAGATGTTTAGGAGCTGTGTCTAGCAGGGCTGCCGGAGCTGCACTTCAGGGGACACCGTGACGTCGTGTCCTTGGAGCTGTGTAACGAAGCCCTACGTTGTACATAATACGGGGCAGTTTTCTGAACCCATCTGCCCTTCGGCTCACTCGTCCGTAAAGTAAAAATAATGAATCTGTAGCTTTTTGTCCTTTAAGTGGGCTGTGGATAAGGTGTTCAGTGCTTGGCACAAGGTAAACATTCAGTAAAAGATGTTACCTCGTGTTAGTTTTATCACCAGGTGGTCTAGCAAAGGCCTTATTAGTCATGGTAGGCACTGAAGGATTTATTGTTAAATGAGTGGGTAAGTGAAATTTCTTGAGACACGTCAGAAGTTAAATGTTCACTTTCTTCATTTTTTTTTTTGTGCATAGCTCCAAGGACTAAAAGAAAATATTGTCCAGATTGCTTATTCATTCTTCATATTTAGGCTAAAATCTGTTACCAGATTCATTGTGTAGATTTTCTGACATATACTTAAGAATACTGAAGAAAAGCCATTAAAAACTTTTACCAAGGCCGAATGTAAGAAAAAAAAAAAAGAATGGGTTTCATATTATGCGTTTCAAGGTTCCAAAATTACTTTAGAAAAAAATACCACTGTTAGTGTGTTTTCTTTTTATAGAAAACATTCACTGAATTCATTGAAATAAAAATGGATGCTCAGAATTCCTGGTCTGTGATGAAATACCTCCAAAGAGTGTGATGTTTAGTTTTCTCAAGTATCCACAAGGTCTTTTTAAGTCATCAGACATTTAAAAACTCACTGAAGATAGTGTGGTCTGCTTTCCACAAAATGCCCGCTCGTTTACCAACAAGGAGTTAAGAAGAATGGAGAGCCATTAGAAGCAGTCAGCAGAGAATTTTATAAGCCGTATAAACTTTATTCAAGTTCTCTGGTCAGTCTTTCTGAGTAAAATAATCAAATATCGAAAGTTAGTGATGGATATCTTTACTGTACTTTTTTACACGGTATCCATGATACCTATGTGCAGACTGCACTAGTGTAGCTACACTTCTCTCTCAGTGCAGTTTTATCTAAAACTGTAGTCACAAGTACATCCTGCGTCTGTGAGGCAAAAATAGAATAAATTATTATCTGCTAAGTTTTAAAAAGGCAGCAGATACCTAGAAATATAAATTTTACAATTGTCTTCTAAAGAAATACTTCAGGGTCAGGGATATAGCGCAGTGGCACAAGCGCCTGCCTGGCGAACACAAGGTCCTGAGTTGGATTCCCAGTACCAAAAAAAAAGAATAAATACTTTAAATATTTTAAATGCTTTTGTAGCATGTGCAAGGCCCAGCATTATAAAAACAGAAAGAAATGAATGCTTTGAATTTCGGTTTCATTATTTGAGAATACACTCAAAATACACTTTTTGCTTTTAAGACAGGGTCTCACTATGTAGTGGCCTTGAACTCACTGTGTAGCCCGGGCCGGCCTCATTCTGTGGCTGTCCTCCTGCCTCAGCCTCCCAAGTGCTGGGATTACAGGCGTGCGCCACCACACCCAGATCTTAAGTGTAGAGTAATTGTGTTTTTTATTTTGATGCCCTTAAATGTTTTTGCCACAGAGAAAATCATTACAGTAAGAAAATATGGAAGAGTAAGAGGGGAAAACAGATTTGTGGCTAGAAAAAATATATAAGCCTAAACTGCATGTATTGCAAACATGTACTAATATAACTTAAAAGTATGTACATAAGCAAGGAAGATGTATTTTGAGTACTTCAATACTTTTGAAGCATTGTAATTAAAATCTATCGTGTCCAGATACGCATTTTATGCTATCAGATAATTTGCAACAATAAAGTGTTATTTCATCAGTTTACATTAAAACATTTTACTCATTTAAATCAAGTACGTATATACATTAGAAACATCAGACATTAAATTCACCCAGCCTGAGGGGCTGGGGATTTAGCTCAGCGGCAAAAGCGCCTGCCTGGCAAGCGCAAGGTCGTGAGTTCGGTTCCCCGTACCGGAGAAAAAAACCAAAAAAAAAAAAAAAAAATTCACCCAGCCTGTTAAAACTTAATCTGTAATTCATTTGAGAAGCGTTTTCGTAGATGACTTTGCTAGTTACAGGGCGCCTATCTGTTAGCGTCAGTGGCTCGGGCGCGGTGCAGAGGTCAGCTCTCATCTCGGTGAACTGGCATCTTTTAAGTAGAAGCCATGTCGGTGCCGCGTTCTCGGTGTCAGGCGGCCGTACCGGGAACAGGTGATCCGTGCGGAGCCTCGGCGCTGCCTTGGTCTCTTTAAGTGCTTGCCCCTTTTCAGGCATATTCAGGACAAATCACACTTTACTAAAAAGCATTTTTTTTAAAATAACAAATTTGTTACCCTAACAATTACAAAGCTCCAGTCTGAAGTGAGTCTTACGGGGACAGTAAATTAGCGTCTGGAGGACTGTGTTCCTTGTGGAAGCCCAAGAGAGGACGTAGTTTCTCAGCCTTCTCAGCTTCCGGAGACCGGCTGCGTTCCTCCGCTCAGGACGTCTTCCGCTGTCTGCAGAGCACACCGCCCAAGTCATTGCTTCGGCTTTGCATCTCCCTTTTCTGCCTCTGGCTTTCCTGCCTCCCTCTGCTGAGGAGCCTTGCAGTTCTATGGAGCCCACCTCGCTAACCCAGGGGCATCCCCAGCCCTGGATCCTTAACCTAATCACAGCTGCACACTCTCGTATGAAAGGTTACATATCACAGGTTCTGGGGGTCGGGTTATAGGTCATTAGGTAGCACTTTTAGGCTGTTCTTTATTCAGTAATAGTTTTAGACAGTTTAAATGTCCCATGTGTATAAAAGATGGAATACCCAAAATAGTACAGTCCTTACTTTGGTTAAACCAGTGCATACATAGTAAAGAATTTATTGAAGTTCTGATTATGCATTGTAATATTTCTGTTTTGCTTTTCTAGGCCATCTGTGTAGGACCAGAAAACATGCAGATAATGTACCCAGCTATATTTGACCAACTGTTGGCATTTGTAGAATTTTCCTGTAAACCTCCACAGTATGGACAACTAGAAACAAAGCACATCGCAAATGCAAAATACAATCAGGTAACTTAGTATAAATTATATTTATTGTCTGAGATTTCATGACTCATAAGTAGTTCCACTTAAGATAGGCTTTGATTCTCTCAGTTTTTTTTATTCACATATGTAAGTTTATATATGTCTGTCAACAGTTTAAGCTAACAAAAATACACTTGAGAAACCTTTTCTGTGTTCCTTTTCTTTATCACTTTCCTCTCCCAGGTGGTCCTTCAGAAAGTTTGGCCTTTCATGTTAACCTATAGTACGTAGTACTAAGTTCCTTCTTCACGGCTGCCCCATCCTGCTACAGAACGGCTTCTAAATCCCTAAGCCCGCGCTTACTTACCTAAGATACCTATCTACAATGCAAGATGGAGAAATCTGTGTGTGCCGGATGAGAACTTGTGCACTACGGTGCGAAATTTAGTTGGAGTTTACAGGAAATATTTTTTAGCTATAGTAGGCAAATTTTAACTTTATTTTGGCTTAGGGGAAAAGTAAATTTCTGAATGTGTGCACATGCTGATTTGTTCACTCGACGTAAACATTATAATTTTATATAATCCCAGAAGTAGTTTCAATATGTATTAACTTTTCTCATTCTATTTGTCTTGCAACACAATGGAATCACAATAGATCCAACTATTTGCACCGGTGAGTTAAATTTCCTAAAATTGTCCTAACCTATTGGAAACAAATAAAATACATCTTTCCCAGTTCTTCATAGAATGCTCTAATTTTCTTTTAACTTCTACCTGGATGGAAATTATTTTTCTTGAGCAGATAGTTGAAAACTTTGCATGTAATATAATCTGACCTACAACCAAGGCCTGAACGTTAAGACAAAGAAGCTTTCTCTTTGAAAACAATAAGATTTCCTTTGATCCCATTTCTCTTTAACTCCATGTAAAAATATTGCTTTCTAGGCAGAATGGGTAGCCTTGAATTATGTACCATTTGCTGAAAAGTCTTTAGAAGTAGTTGTGGATTTATACCAGAAAACAGCCTGTCATAAAGCAGTGGTGAATGAGAGCGTTCTCCAGAATATTATTAAGGTATCTTGTTTTCATCTCTATGCTTCTATTTGATGATGACAGTGTTGCAGTTGTTCTTTATGTAATATGTGATTATTTTGAAATAAGTGGGAAATATTTATATTATTACTTAGAGTGACTTTTTCAACATTCATGTATTATATTTGCCAAGCCATTTTTCTAAACTGTGAGAAGGTCTTTCTGATGAAACACATTTTTGTAAAAAGGGCAGTAGATGTATTTCTTAAATTTCGCCAGTAAGGCGGTGAGGACCCTGTTTCTCGGGACAGTATCCCTCAGACCTCGGGGTTGGCCAAGGTTCGGAGGAGATCAGCGTGCTGCCCAGGGGTTTAAGGGATCTTGCAGACCGCTTTGTTGCTGTTAAGCCAGTTCCTTAGCATTTGGACCTTTAAAAAATTCATCACCAGTTAATTCCATCCCGTTCCTCTTACTTGTGGTTTCCTCTCCATTTGGAAGGACAAACCTAAACTCTGCTCTTCCTCTAGCACGTGGATGTACCTTCCGCGTACTCAGCAAGCGCAGGCTACTGTGTGAGTTTCCCCCAAGGAAGAGAGTGTTTCTCTGTTCGGAGATTTAGCTCTTCACGTGTATTCGACCTTCCTCCTGCCTTTCTTTATTGGTGATTCTTTGATTTTTGTTTTAGCATTTTATACTTCATGCTACAGAGAACTTTCTCCTGACTCTATTTGCTGCTTGAGTTCCCGGCCTCTTCCAGCTTCCCTCTCCTCTCAGATTCCATCGTCAGCTTGTCGCTCCCTGAGCCGCCGCTCACTGTCGCCTGCTGCGTGCCGGCTCGTGTCCTCCCTGCTCCCCAGAACCCGCTCTCCCAAGTTTCCAGTCTTCGCATCCAAAGTCCTGTCCCAGCCCTTCCTTTCCTGTGTGGAATGGTGGCACTTCTGCCTTCTTAAAAGTCTTTCTTCGCATTTTGAGATACTACTTTTTTCCCCTCACCACATACCTTACCAAAATTCTCCTTTCTGTCATCACTTATTGAACATATTTTTAGACATCTCTATTACTAGATACTAACTAAACACTAGAAATTAGAAAATGAATAATTCTTACGTTGAATAATTCAAAAAGGGAAGACAGAAAGGCAAACAAACAGTAATACAGCGTGGTGAGTGCTAGGCAAGGGCCGCAGTGGAGGTGGCTTGTTACTCAGGCGGGCCTGCTGGGAGCAGTGCGCTGCTGTTCACACGCTGCTCCGTCATCTGAGTGAATGGACTTGCTGGGAGTGTTTCTTATCTGTGAAAGAAGGACAATGCTAACAGCATTTGTGTCCTGACTGCAGTAAAGAGAACCCACTGAATATTTACTTCACGACGCTTGCCTTGCCAAGTAGCCAGTGCTGAATAAAATGTTAGTTCTTTGCTATAGACAAAAAAGTAATTGAAGTGCTAAAGGGATTTGGGGAAAGAACAGAAGTAACAGTTGCAGGAGAAAAAGTTTGTTATGTAAGAAGGGAAAAGAGGCGTTGTAGGTGAACTGAGCTGTATCAGAGATCCGGGTATGTTTTCAAGAAACATTAAGAAGTTCCTTTTAAGGAGGTCACAGGATACAGAATATGTCTAAAGTGCTACAAACTTCTAAGTTTCCTACGTCTGCTCTTAACCTTTTAGGTAATATCCCTGTTTTTGTGATGAAAAAAACGAATTTCAAAAAAGTTACTTATTCCAAGTCATTGTTTAAAAGATGGAGAAAAAATTTAATAGTGTATCTCTTGTAATTGGGCGTATCAGTGAGTGGAAGAGCATGTGCTTAGCATGGACAAGGCCCTGGATTCAATCCCTGGCATCCAGTCAATCAGTCAGTAAATGTATGCACGTATGCGTGTATGTCTGTGTTTGGTTCTAGGAAGTAGGATTTGAGGACCACATGTGATCACTCTAAAAAATAGCACCCTGTCCCAGTGGAAATACCCATGCTGTTACTTTTTCTCTCCAGTTTAGCATTTTGCTTTAAAGTAAAGTTGTGTTTGTTTTAATTACTGTCCGTCTTACACCACGTTTATTTTCAGACTCTTAGGGTCCCTCTCAGTTTGAAGTACTCCTGCCCTTCTGAAAGCACATGGAAACTCGCAGTGTCTTCCCTCCTCAAAGTTCTGTCTATCGGGCTCCCTGTTGCCCGGCAGCACGCGTCTTCCGGAAAATTTGACAGCATGTGGCCGGAACTAGCCAGCACTTTCGAAGACTTTCTCTTTACTAAAAGGTCAGCTTATTACTTGTAAAAAACAAGGCATTCTTTCAAGAGGTAACACGTTCTATTTACATTTGCTCTGAAAACAGTGTTATCTTGACTCATTAGCAAAGTGATTAGCAACGTTGCTAACTTCTGCGCAGAGTGTAACAGTTCGGGCGTTTCTTCATGAGTGTTTTTGGTTGTAAGGCCGGAATCTTACCTATAACGTCATATGAATATATCATAATTAACTGTTTTTTAACTTAATGGAGGTAAGATACTTTTTAAAAATCTGAGGCCCATTTGACTTTACAAGAGGGAAAAAATTTTAGAAAATCCGTGTTTTTATATTGGTACATTCTTAAATCCTCTCACCTAATTCATACTTGCGCTAAGACCCTGTGCATAGCTGCATGCCCTCTGCTGCTTCCCAGAGAGGTAGTTCCGTTGTTCCACAAGTCGCTTTGGCCAGGGAATGAAGCACAGAGACGATGCAGATAAGGGCAGAGTCAGCTGGAAGGCAAGGGTGGCTGTGGGCATGGTTGCACTCTGTCACACGTGCAGTGTGAGGAAAAACGCACAAAATTGCAAAACGTGGGGGCTATTAGACATTCACTCAGCCAGACTTCAAATACCGAAGCGTGGCCCTTGTCCTGCAGGAGGCGCACTGTGCTAATGGACACCGTATAATTTATGCCCGGTGGATGGTGCATTATAAGCCATTGAGTGCTGTGCTTGCTTCTACAGCACATGTCCTGAAAAGTCACTGACTGCTAAGCCAGGCGCATTGGTGTGCACCGGTATAACCAGCCTGCAGCAGCAGATGAGTGAGGCAGGAGGATCGCCCGAACCCAGGAATCTGGTACCCACCTGGAAATACAGCAGGACCGTGTCGCTTAAAAATCACTAAGTACTATCCAAAGGAATTGAAAGCACATATTCACACAAAAAACTTATATGTTAGTGTTCATAATGGCATTGCTCATAATAGCTAAAAAGAAAAATAACCCAAATGTCAGCTGCTTAGTGAATAGATTAAATATGGCATCTATTTATATGGCATCTAATATGGCATCTATTATTCAGCCGTAAAAAGAACTGAAGTGCTGAAGCATGTTACGACATAGATTCACTGTCAAAGTGTGTGAAGTAGGAGAAGTTACACACAAGAGACTACACTGCTGTATGTTGTGATTTACGTGATATATCCAGAATAGGCAACTCCACAAAAAGAGAAACAGACTGTTAGATCTCAAAGGTGGGGAAGGGGTGGGGGCGCAGTAACGGGCGTTTCTCCTGGGAGCGCTGGGGTTGTGGGGTGAAGATGGTGAGGGCTGTGTAACTCCTTGTGCGCTGCGTCGTCATGGGTGGATTTCACCGCGTGTGGATCATCGCAGTTACAACGTTAGTATGCCACACAGAGAAAACCGAGCAGAAGAATAATACTTTATTAGCTTGAAGATTCTTTTTTTAGTTTTGTTTGTTGGTTTGCTTGTGGTACTGGGGTGAGACCGAGGGGTGCTGCATCTTGAGAGATAAAACTCTCAACTCGTGCTGAACGCTAAGTCACAATGAAGGGATGCGTTTAGCGCTGTTAAAAGATTTGTGATGGTGGTAGAGGTCAGTTAATGATGGGCTGACTGTCGGTATAAAGCGAATAAGCCACGACTTCAGTAGAAACACACTGATAATATTAATGCTGTTTGCATCATATATCAGAAATACTGAACCGGGTTGTTAACATATGAAGAAATAATAGAGCAGCACACAAAACCAAAAACTGAAAGGGTCACTCTTAATTCCAAGAATCCTGAAAATCAGGAAATTGCTTTGCGAAAGGTGAGTATTCTGATGCCAGAACCCATGCTAATGATTATTTAATTAAGTTAGTATCCTTACTAAAGCATAACAGAAAAACACTGAAACTTTTAAAATGCTGGTTAAAGTAATTTACCTATAAATTATAAGGGAGATGGCCAATAAATGGGTCATGTAAGACACTTAAAGTTTGATGAATCATTACTTAAAATTTGAAAAAGGTTTGGGGGAGGTGGCACATGCCTTTAATCCCAGCTACTAAGGAGGCTGAAGCAGGAGTGTGACAGTGAAAGTCAGCCTGGTCAGCTGAGCAATAGCAAGACCCTGTCTGAAAATAAGAAAGGCTGGGGATGCAGCTTGGTGGCAGAGCACCCCTTGGTGTCATCCCCAGTGTCTGTGTTTTTGAAATGTTGCCTGTGGATTTCACTACTAGATTACAAAGTTAGTAAACACGTGGCCTGAGTCTAGCTTGTGCACAGTTGGATCTTCAGGAGCAGATACAAAACCTGCTTCGAGGCAGTTGGTAGTCAGTGGATATTTAACGCATGCAAAGTGTCCAAATCAAGCAAACCGAGGTCCAGTGCCCTGCAGCCTTGGGTGCGGAACTGAGCACTATACTAATCTAGATGTGCAACGATCTTTACCTCTACAGTAGAAGAGAATAACGCAGGCTCAAATGCCAGGCGGGTCCTGGGTGCGCTCACTTCACTGTGTTCTCATGCATTCTATTATCCATTTGAAACTTCAGTTTTCTGTTGATTACAGGAAAATTACATTTATTCCACGTAATTGCTGTGGAACCCTATGAGATGAATATACATAAAGCTCTTACTATAGTGGCTGGCTATTCAACTTTCATTGCCATTATTACTGTAAAATTACTATTGTATTCTTAGCTGTTTTTAAATGTTTTTTTTTTTTTTGTACCAGGAATCGAACTCAGGACCTTGTGCTTGTCAGGCAGGCACTTGTGCCACTGAGCTGTATCCCCAGCCCCTTAAATGGTTAATATTTCACTATTTTATAAATTTATGACTAGTTTACTAATTCTTCTGAACCAGAATCTAGACTCCATCTTGCTTTCCTCAGAATTACTAATTTCAACTTTTGCTACAATAATGTTTTGTTTTAGAAAACCTACGTCCTCTTTTTTGGGTAGATATTCTCTGTTGTTACTGTCAAAAACTTTAATGCATTGCAGTTATTACAAATCAGTGATCAGTGGGCTCTCTGAGTAAATAACTTAGCAATTTCATTGAAGTCTCCTAAGTCATTGCAACATAAGCGAATTCAGGTATCACAATGGCAGTTTTTGTTGTAGTTGTAGATGATACAATATCTGTACTTCTTATTTTTTCTTTCATAATACTGAAAGAAGTTTAGTCTTGCCGATTTTTAGTTCAGATTAGACCAAGCGTTTTTGTAGTTAAGAGTTTCAGGTTTGCATGTCCCAACCAACTTGGGTGGTGAAAAAAATATTTATCATTTGTATACTGTTTATATATATACTATTTGTATCTCCAGAGAATATTTTACCTTTAAAAGTCAAAAGTATTTTGTTTATATTTTTTAGCATACCTCCAGATAATCTCTCTATTCAAGAGTTTCAAAGAAATGAAAGTATTGATGTTGAGGTAAGGAAGCTATTTAATACACTTCCTTGTGATCATTTGTAATAGTAGAATTGTTGAAACTATAAGTTGCTGAAAGAATAAGGTAAAGTAGTAAGATTGAACTCAAAAGCATTGGAACTCTCACAGATAAAAAGATTGATTTTTAGTCACTGATTTCCTTAGTTGTCTTATACTATGTTCATGCTATGTAGATACTTAGTTGAGTTTGTTTAAAAGGAAGTTAGTTCGCTGAAATAAATCCATCAGTCAGTGAGTGTGAATTTGAGAGTTTAATTTCCAGTTTGGCAAATCAGGTGTCTGTCTTATAGTTCAGACTACTCTAGTTGCTTCAATTTTAACCACCTACATACACAACTTATTGCATTCTTAGGGCAAAAAGTGTTTTTACAGTAGTACATTTTGAGGACTGTAAATGAAGTTTGAAGATTTTTTTTTAGCTATGGGTTTTTTTATTGGTGGTATGATCTGGGGTCTTTTTTTTTTTTTAAGGTAGGGGGACATCAACGTGAATCAAATAATAAGTCATTTAAAATATACATTTAAAAAGCCTAGAAATTATCACATATATACAAAACACTACTTTTTGTGTAGTACTTACCTTATTAAAACTTGGATGACCTTTTTCTTTAGAGGGCAAAGTAATAAACTAGATAAACTGTTGGTAAAATCTATAGTTTATTATTAGGCAGTAGTAAGCTTTAAGTAAAAAGAATCTGTTGGAGAAAAGTGATTATAGCTTTTATTTCTTTAATAATTGACAGTTTCTGGCAGTAACAAATGGTTAAATCTTAACTTTGGGTATTGCACTTGAACATGGCTAAGTTTCATACACTGTTTTTCTCTGCTGTGCTCTTTGTAGTTATGTGTCAAAACATTTGAAAATGGCGTCACAGTAAACAGGTATACTGCTGGCTATTTCTGATAGGAGAGGACGAAAACATACTAGTAGTCATCCTCTATATTAACATTAAAGTATTCAGGTACCTCTACAAAGGAGGGTTCTTTAATTAATTTTCCTGTAAAATAAAATTTAAATTTTACTCTAGAAATTATAATTTGAGCCAGTCTCTTTCTGGAAAAAAACGCACTGCTTGACCCCCACCCCCGCCCCTTTTTCAGGTAGTTCAGCTGATCAGCACTGAGATTCTACCTTACGCCAACTTTATTCCTAAGGAGTTTGTCGGTCAGATAATGACGATGCTTAACAAGGGCTCCATACACTCTCAGTCCTCCTCATTCACAGGTATGTTATTGCAGTCGCTTTTTAGGGTTAGGAAATATTGACATACTTTTAAAGGTGATATAAAACAGTCCTATGATTGTGGTAAATACAAATCAGAGAGGTAATTTTTATGAATGTAAAAATAGAACAGTGAGTTTTATAAGGAAAAAATACGAATATCCTGTGGGTATGGTATTTATTTGCCAATCCTGATTAATTATATTGTGCAGCACTTACAGAAGCTGATGAAGTTATTCAGGCTGATAAGTTACAGTTTTGTGGAGTCAGATTATTAGAAGGCATTATAATTTAGGAAAAAATAGGGATACAGTCTTCCATTGGATATACTGGTTAACTGCTCTCAGTTTTATAATCTTTAAGATGAAGGTATTAGTAATAACAGCTTTTTGGGACTATTGGGAAAAAATAAGATGCCTTAACATTTTGTGAGGGAACATTCAATAGATAGCTGCAGTGTATGAAATGTCATGCTGGAATGTTATCTCTTGAGCCTCTGAATATTGCTGTGAGGCTAGGTATTTCCATATTAGAGAAGGTGAAAGTGCTTTCCTATAGTTGAAAAAATTGTCCACATTCTAAAGGATGAAGGCCAAATTCATACTCAACAATAATTAGTTATTTTTATTGCATCATTCTGCCTTCATTAACTACTTATATATAAGTTGCTTTTTGCTATTTGTTTTGCTTTGTTTTGTTGAGACAGGGTTTTACTATACAGTTCTTGCAGGCCTTGGACTCACTTTGTAGCCCTCGCTCAGCCTCCCAAGTGCTGGAATTATAGGCATGCACCACCACATCTGGCCTTTTTATTTATTTTATATAAACCTGTTTTCAAGTTATAAACGTAACTGTGGGTTCATAACTTGAATTTTCTTTGAAATGACTTAAAGATTGTAAATTGCTGCAACGCATACCAGTTTTCAGAATTTAGTGGCACCGTGGCTAATGCCGTGCCGCCTGTTGTAGAGTAGTAGTAATGTATGCAGGCGGCCGCTAGGTGTCTCTCTGACTCCTTGCAGTACCTCACTGACCAGTTTTTCCCTACTCCTGATCTTAGCAACTGGCATAGTAACATGCAAATTTAACAAACATGAGACTCTCAGAGGAAAAGAACATCGAAGTCCACTTACATTAATATAGTCGAATGTATACATTTTTCCTAAATAATTTTAATAAAATATGCATTAAATATTAGGTACAAAAACGGTAAGGTAAATGGTTGAATTTCAGGTATACTTCTTCTGCCTTTTTCTGATAATATTCCTTGCTGGACGGTACTGTTTACCGAGACAAAAACAGTTCATGGGCATTCTTCCAGCGCCCTCCCTGAAAGGCGCAGTGTTCTCTCGGCTTTGTCTTGGGGCTGTCTTTAACAGCGTGCATACGAAGCCATTCCTTGCTAATGCAGGCAACCTGTGAGCACAGAGGTCCCAGGGAACATTTTGGGCCCGCACTGTGCAGTACGAGCTGACTGCCAAGGTTCTCAGACGTGAAAGAGGAAGACTGAACAACGAAGAGGAACTAAAAGAAGCTGGAAAGAAACAGACGAGATGCAGAAGCATAGAAAATGTAAAAGCACAGTACTTTCGGGAAGGTCAAAAGGAGAAAAAGCTTTCATACTTATGAAATAAAAAATGTCATGAAACAGGGACACTGAGAACCAGCGAGAATTGAGAAACGCTGAGAAGGTGATAGCTGAAATAAATTCAGGGAAGGCTTGGAATAAAACGTTAGGAAATAATCCTGAAAAGAGAACAAAAGTTAAAAAATGGATAATTTGAGAAGAAAGAAGTAAATGAAAGCAGAGAAATAAGCGAAAGCCGATGTTCCAGCATCTGACAGTTGGTCTTCCAGAAAGACCGAACAAAAAAAATGTAGACAAAATTATCAAATAAGAACTGAAGAAATATGCCTCCAAATTAAACGTGGTCACTTAGTGTCCTGAGCAGTGGAAGACGTAGATGCTCAATAAGGCATGTAAAAATACCAAAATACTTGGGATAAAGAGGGTATCATAAAAGATACCCCCAAAAAAATTCCAAAATAACATTAGAATTCTCAGCACAATGCAGGATGCTAAAGACATAAAACAGTGATTATAGAGTTATAAATTTAAAAATAGGCATTTTGGGACCTAGGGACACTGTCGGCCAAATACGAGTATAGAGACCAGTAATCCTCAGATTTCAGCAAGCAGTACAAATGGAGGACCAGCTATGCTCCAGAGTTTCTGCTTCAAGAAAACTAAGATGGACCGTTGAGAACTCAGATTTGTAGCAAATGCTCTGGTGATAGTGCTAGTGCTAGCTACCACATTTTTGGGGTACCACAGTAAAATGAACATTTGCAGAAATAATAGGTCTCATTGATTCTTTCCTAGGAAGATACTTCACAATATGTTCCATGATAACAGAAAAGATAAATCAAGAAAGTAGAAGGAATGAGATCTAGGAAGCAAGCTCTAACAGAGGGGGAATGAAAACAGTCCCCAGGGTGATGGCCGTAGACTACTTCCATGTTACAGCTGGACAGCCAGCTGGAGAACTGGAGCAGAGGTCATGTCCCTGAGAAGATGTTGTCAGGAGGGGAGGAAAAACGTACTGTCACTGCGCGTGTGACCCATGGAAAAGTGACGAGGGTAGACAGCCTTGCCTGGTTGTGATCTTAGGAGGAGGAAAATTTTACATGTATGTGTGCATGCCATAGGTTGTTCATAGATGTCTTCCATCAGATTGAGAATTTTCTTCTGTTCCTAGTTGGCTAGAATTGATACAACATTTTATTAACCATCAAAAATTAATTTTACAGAAGCAGAGATTGATATTCGTTTGAGAGAAGAATTTTCTAAAATGTGCTTTGAAACATTGCTTCAGTTTTCCTTCAGTAATAAGGTCACAACACCTCAAGAAGGCTACATCTCACGCATGGCACTCTCGGTGCTTTTAAAGAGGTCTCAGGATGTTCTGCATCGCTATATAGAGGATGAAAGATTGAGTGGCAAATGTCCTCTTCCAAGGTATATATTTTGTTGTCTAAAAACCAAGTGCTTTCATAAGTGGTCTGGACTAATCCGAGGCTGTTTATTATAGTTTTATTTACCCCAGACAGTGTAAATATTCATAGGTTTCACTGCAGATACATTAATGTGTTTTATTATGGGATGCCTTTTCAGATCCTTGGAGGTTAAGTACTAAATGATACATGTTCCACATTACCATTTTGAATCTGAAATTTTTGAATTCCAAAACATATTGTCTACCAGACTTCTACATGAAGAATTGTGAATCTGTATGATTACATGATGTTATTCCTCTCCAGTGAAAATACTAGACAAGTCATGTCCAAAGAGCATGTTGTTACGTAGTCATTTCTAGGCTTCTCTTTGTCAGCTAGCCATGTGTTAGGTTTTCTCTTTGTCTAATCTACTTAATTTCGCCCTTGGACCTATACTGATTTCCTTCTCATCTGTCCGAGCTGTTACAGTGGCAGTGGCCCTCGGCCTTTCTACCAAACCAGGGCTAACCAGAGCTAGGGTGTGGACCGGAATCCATCAGACAAATGAAGGAACAGAATAATACGCGAGGAGAAAGGTGCCGGTCAGGGAGGAGGAACGTCTTGTGGCTTCTGTTTCATGGGGTTCTGCTGGGCAGGAAACCACTTGCTCCAAGTCTTTGTTCACCTTTGTGTTTGCTTTATAATAAATTTCTGGAGGTGGAATGGACTTGTTAAAGAATACAGACATTTAAGTACTTTTCCCCAGGAGTGTATGAATGCCCTTTCATCCCTGCTTATTTAGCATTTTAGATGCTTTGCCAGTTTATCATTTATCTTTTCTTAATTTACTGAATGAAACATATAATAGTTACTTTTTATTTTTTAATTACCAGTGTTTATTAATCATTCCTAATTTTTTAGGATCCAATGTATTTTGAATTTCTAGAACACAAATTACAACTCTCCTCTTCAAAAATAAAAAGAAATCCCATGCCAAATATAGTTATGAGTAATTTAGTTACAGGTTTAGCTGACAATTTATTAAGTAAAGTTGATTCTTAAAGTGTACTTGGAAATGTAGTGACAAAATTGCTTCAAGTAGGATATTCTTATTTATTAGGGTGTGATGTACTGATTTCAGAAAGCGTCTTTTCCTTTTTTTCTGTTCTCAGCATTTTGAGCCCTATTCGTACTTGTCCTGTGCAGGTACATTGGATTATTCTACGTACACAATCGCTAAATTGGTTTCTAAAAGCTGCATTACAGTGTTATACTTCATAGTCTTAGTTATTTTTCTCTCGTTGCTGAGACAAAATGCCTGACGCCCACAATTAAGGATGAAAAGGTTTACTTGGCTCACAGCTTGTGGAGGTTTTAGTCCATACCCGGCTGGCTCCAAGGCAGAGTGGCACGTGGCACAGGGGCAACAGCTCAGGGTGGCAGAAGACAGCAGAAGCCACGGGCAAAAAGCAGGGAGCAGAAGCCTCTGTTCCTCCCTTATATCGTATGCTGGCTGTCGGCCCACACCGTCTTGTCTCCGTGCCATCCTCCTGGCCCAGCTCAGGACACTTACAAAGTGAGGCCTGGGTCCCCTGCTGGTCACGTAGTTAAGTTTCTGAACTTCTCAATTCTCAGGTTGACACGATGTGCCAACCATTACACATACAACATAGAAGGCTTGAGATGGTGGTCGTAGTATCAGAAAACTCCTCCTGCCTGCCAAACGAAGACAGGCTCACTCCCAGATAGAGTGGAGCGAAGGGAGCTGTGGGGTGGGAGACTTTCACTTGTGTCCGAAGGAAGGGAGTCAGACTACTCTGTGGGCCCTTTACTCCGAGGTCATATGTCATTGTTGATGTCTCCAAACGGTGCCACTTAGGGTTGATTTCCAATATGTTTCTTGTTTGTTGTGTTAGAAAGTTAGTAAGTATTACTGCAGTTCTGAATGTGCTGCGAACAGCATGTTAAAATGTGTGCCAGGTAGTCATTGTAATGTTTCTATTTCATCTCTGGCAAATTTCTTTTAGTACTAATTAGTTTTTTTAAAAAACAAAAACATACTGTAGAGAACTTTTAAAAGCATGTATTATATTTTAATTTTAAGTAATATGTAGCATAGCTGACAAATAAATTTAGATTTACATGTGTAGATTGCACCTCTCCTTTTAAAGTGGTAATTTGTGGTAAGAATAACGGTAAATCACATTTGTGCACTGAAGTGTATATATTTCTATCTCCTTTTAATAGGTATGAAATGCTTTTTCCTTCTATATTTTTAGTATCAGGAATCAAATTTGGGACCTTGCGCTTGCCAGGCAGGTGTTCTGCTGCTGAGCTCTATCCCTGGCCCACTTTCTCCTTTTATAAGAATGTAAAACAAACATTAACTTCATGTTGTGTTCAAAGTATAACTATTTGTACAAACCTTATTTTTAAAAAACATGCATATTTAAAAATCTTGACAGAAATCATTTCCCTTTTTTTTAGGCAACAAGTAACAGAAATTATATTTGTTTTAAAAGCGGTCAGCACGCTCATTGATTCGCTTAAGAAAACTCAGCCAGAGAATGGTAAGTACTTAGATTCAGTTACTCTAAATTTGTAACATTTATGCTTTTTTAAGAAAAAAATTCCTACCACCACGATTCCCAGCTGAAAAGTGCGCACAGAACCAGGTAGGCCCCATCCAATCCCGGAGGCCAAGATGCGAGAACAAAGACCCCGCGGACATTGCAGACTGAGTTGCTAGGCGCAGGGAGGCCCAGGGGACTGGCGGGGCGAGCAGGCCCTC